GGACTTGGTGAAGGGGGGTGCCTAGTAAACATAATGTCTTTCATGTAATTGTAGATTAATGATACCAAAATTTTAAAAAAATAAAATAAAAACAGAAATGACAAGTGTTGGCGAGGAAGTGGAGGACGAACAGGCCTCCTGCACTGTTTGGGGGAGTGTAAACTGGTGCAGCCACTCTGGAAATCAGTATGGGGGTTTCTCAAAATGTGAAAAACAGAAATACCATGTAAGCCAGCAATCTCCCTTCTGAGAATTTACCTGAAGAAAACAAAATCCATGATTTGAAAAGGTATATGCACCCATTATCTCATCATCATTTATAACAGCCAAGATATGAAAACAACCTAAATACCTATAGATGAATAAAGAAGGTATTGCATACATATACAATGTAATATCACTCAGCCATTAAAAAGAATGAAATCATGCCATTTGCTGACATGGATGGACCTTGAGGGTATTATGCTAAGTGAAGTAAGTCAGACAGAGAAAGACAAAGAGCATATGATTTCACTTACACATAGAATCTAAAGTCAAATGAAACAGAAATAGACTCATAGAGAACAGACTGGTAGTTACCACAGGGGAAGGGGGAGTGAAATAGGTGAAAAGTGAGAAAAATAGAATGTTTGATATCTTGATCTGGGTGATGGTTACATGAGAGTATACCCATGTCAAAATTCAGGAGCTGTACACTAAGATTTGTGCATTTTATTGTATGTACCTTAGTAAAACAATAAAAAGTAAACAGATTCATAAAAGCTATCATCTGAGGCTCCAATTCAGAAAGGAGCTTCCTCCCCATAAGAAGCAGGGTTTTCACCAGCAGCCTACAGGCCCTCATCCGTCTCAGCCCCTCCTACTCTGCAAAAACAGGCAAAGTCTTTCTAAAATTAAAAGCTCCAAGCACTTGGCAATATTGCCAATGAAGACTGAGGGGGAAGCATGCTGCTGACCCCTGCTTTACCCCTTCTGGGCTGTGTCTACTATACCCTGTCCAAATCTCCCCGACCCCATATTCACACAACCTCCTGCCCTTGCAAAGTCCTACCCCCAAACCCCAGCTCCACTTTCTACTTCTGGGGAGAAAGTCACCAAGTGTGTCCCCACCTTGGCTGTATCTCCTGAGTAACCAAGGAACCCCTTCATCTGAAGTTTGCAGTTAGGCGTGAACTGTGTGGGTTGGGGGGTGGGGGGTGACAGAGGGTTGACGCAGGAACAGGGGCTCTGCTAGGGAGGCTGGAACAGGGGGTGCAGGCGAACACAGAGGAAAGCAAGGACATGAAGGCTTGTGGGGCCTCCAGGCACCACTGCCACTGGCCCAGGGCCACCCCTGCCTCCTCAAAGTCTGGGTTGAGACCTATTTGGTCTGGACTCAAATCTCTGCAGAGATGCCCCCACTGTATTCAACTCAAGAGCTGCACAGCTGATCACACAGCTATCGTGTGCACAGGGCACAGCGCCCTGGGCTGCACGGCCGTGGTGGCACCTGGGCTCCAGGCTGTGAGATGGGGCAGCACAGAGGGTGGATGGGGCAGGCAGCGCCAGGAAGGGTCCCTGCATGTGGCATTTGCGGTAAACAGTCTGAAAGGTGGAAGCACTCTGGCTGAAGCAGGTTTAGCACAAGCCCCAGCTCTCCCCTACGTCTGGCCACACGCCCTGAAGCCCCATTTGCCATCTCTGTGCAGTGAGCCTGCAGGACTCACAAAGGAAGACAGGGGCAGTGCTCAGCTTCAGCCTCCTTTCCTGGAGCTAGAAGGTTCCCAAAGGAAGTAACTGTTCAACATGCACAGCCTTGGTCTCCCTCACAGTGGATGAGAACCTTCTCCTCAAGGTCCCCAGAGGGGACCTGCCCTGGGATGACCCAATGGCTGTGCTAACTTCTGTGTGTGTGTCAGCCTACAGGACCAGGAACTGGGCATCCCTGGGGCTCCCAAGGCCTGCAGAAACACATGCCCGCCCCTCAGGCCTGCCCCAGGCGTGTCTGAGGCCCATTCAACCTGAATGGCCTCAGCCAGCACTGTAGGGTCTGCTCCAGCCACCGCTCCAAGCCCTGGGCAGGCCAGTGGGCTCAGGCCCGCAGGAGCTCACCTGCCACCTGCCCCCTGTGCACAAGACTCTGCAGAAGCCACAGGCCTCTGCCCCTCCTCCTCAGTTGGCAGGGCAGACATGTGGGTCCAAGAGCACTGGACAGTCCCCTCCTGGGAGCCCCGGAGCAGGCAGGCTGCTCAGTCCAAAGGCTCTGGGGACCTATGCACAACAGCATGCAGGGCACCAATAGCTGAAGCCTCCTGACACCGAAGGCACTGGGCAGAGGCGCCAGCAGGGCCGGGCACAGCCTCCTCGCGGGGCCCCATGCATGCAGAATGACTTGAATGGGCCTGGACACTCCCACCTTGGTGTGGCTCCTCAGCCTGGGGCCTGGCTTTCTCCGGTCCTCCTCCTACTCTGAGGCGTCGCAGCCTCACTCACAGCCTCACGTCCTGGAGCAAAGATCAGGGCCCTACACTGCTCTCGGGAAGGCACCTTCGGTGTCTCCTCAGAACCTCAGTCGTTCAGGCTGGTTCTTGCATCCTGGGCGAGAGGGGCCTGGGAAGGTAGCTTTTCACCACTGCCAGGGGAGGGGTGTGCACATCGGGCAGGCAGAGGCAGCGCCATCCCAGGCCTCGGATCCAGGTGCCAGGCAATCCCCATGCCAGCTTCTGAGAGGTGGGGCTGGCTCTGCATCCCCTAGATGCCACCTAGATAGCTGAGGCCTACCCGTATCCAAGCCACATCTCCTCCTTCCTCTGTCAGGTCTCTTCCTCCCACCTGATGCCAGGCTTCCTCCCCCAGAGGATGAAGAGCTGTGGCCTTCCCATAAAGGCCACTGCAAGGTCATGACGGCTGAGGCCAGAATTGGCCTCTGCTGCCAGAGCCCGCTGGTCAGCAGCAGGGACTCCAACCCTGCCGACACACACACCCAGAGGCCCTCAAGGGCAGGTTCGCTGCTCTGCCTCACACTGAGGGCGGTGCCCGAGGCCCTCCCTGACCCCAGCACCAAGCAGAGCACTGCCCTTTGCTGGTCTGCGACATGACATGTGACCTGAGAATACCGGGGCCCCCTGCGGGGCCTACCACCTCCCAGTATGCTGGCTTCTGGCGTGGCGCCAGGGGCCGATGCCCAGTGCCACCAGAGGGTGTCCGAGGGTAGGGACTCTGGCCTTCTGCCATGGTGCTGGGGTGGGAGATCTTGCAGCCCAACCACTGCCATGTCCTCAAGACTCCTGGACCTCTCCGAGCTCTGGATCTTTGACTAGACCTTTTATGTAGTACTTTCTGTGGATGAAAGGTGCGATGAAGCACCCTTCTAAAGAAACAGGCTTCCCGGAGTATCCAGAAGTCAGACAAGAGAGGAGACATCAGCCGTGCCCTTCAGCACCTTCACCCACTGGCATTCAAGTCAAGTGAGCCAGGCCCACGAGGTTTGGGGAGCATGCACCATTTGGGGGAAATGCCAAATTCACAGGGTGGCTCACAGCCAGGCAAACACATAAGTGTCTGGCCCGTTCATCACATGCAGAGCGTGTGCCCTGTAGGCTGAGATTCTCAGAGGCAGAGATGTGGCTGTGAAGAGCTCTGCCATCAGCTCTGCCTCTTGCTGGTGTGAGTCTCAAACTCTCCTTCTCTCTCGACACTTCATGGAACAGCATTTGAGGCCTAGGCAACTGGAAAGGAATGTGGGAAACAGGACTGCAGCCCAGGGTGGAAATCCTGGCCTGGGACCCAGAACAGCTGCTAATCTACACTGGCTACTCCCATGACCAAGAAACAAACCTTCAGGGGCCTCAGTGAAGACACACAGCAGACGACCTTCCCTGGGCCCCAAAAGCTGCAGGTGACACCCAGGGCCACCCGGTACAGCCCTAGAAGTTGCACACCTCACAACCCCAAGAAGCACCATTTCCAAAGATGGTGGTATGAATAGTGCAGTCAGAGCTGTGCGATGGGTCCTTGGGGACACCTCTCCCTGACCAGCCAGGCACCATCCACAAGGGTCCTTCCTGACCAAGAAACTTTCCAGCGTCTACCTGGCGTTTCACCAGCTTACCCAGAACAGCTGCCCAGGCACCCCGCTGGCCCCCTCGGCACTGTGTCCGCTAGGGGGCAGGAGGCCAGAGGCCACACACAGGCTCCAGGGAGGCGGTCCAGAGCAGGTGAGGTCATTTATATGTTAGCCTCTCTATTTAAGGAAGCACAAGGCTGTCTTTAATTATCAGATCCCCCAGGACATGAGCCACTGTGGCAGATGACATTGAAAAGGGACAGGCTACTGGCATGAACTTCTGACTTTTCTATTCCAGCCCCACAGGCAGCCTCTCAAGGTGTCTAGACCAGGGATGCAGATCCCCAACCCTTCCATGGCCTCCATCCACGGCCTTAGTTGGAGCTGTTGAAGCCACGTGTCCTCTCACCCATCTACCTTGCAGAAAGCTGGCGAGGGATGCAGGGTGGGGGCACGGTGGTATCTAGAACCTTCTGTATGACTCCTAGGAAACCCAGCAGAGTTAGGTAGGAGTAATGAGTCCAGCTGGTCCAAGAAGCTGCCTCATCACTTCTGATTCTGAGCAATGTGGTCAGAGAGCAGGTCACTGGGGCTGCTGAAGAGCAGTAAAGGCATAACGAGTTCAGCACACAGCCTACTTCCTGCCCACATGCCTGCTCCCCACAGCCCAGCCCAGCTGAGGGCCAGATGTGCATGCCCTCCGGATGCTAGTCTTGTCCACCACATGGCAGTATGTCTGGGAGTCCACTTCCTTGGCCTGGGGAAACCCATGCACACAGGGCTCACCAGAAGCAGGGGTCATCCAAATCAGGGGTCAAGGGGAAAGTGAGGGGTGCACCCATACCCACCCACAGGTGCACAGCACCCCTGATGCAGATGCCCCCCACAACTGCAGACACAGATGTGTGCACACAAGGTCAGCACGGCCCCCAGGCGCACAGGCTGTGGCTCATACCCTCTGGGTGGCGTGGTTCAGCATCTCCTGCCAGGCCGAGTCAAACTGCCGCTTGTCATCCTCCAGCAGCCGCTGCTCGGCCAGGGAGATGGTTTCCTTGGCAGCACGCAGCACTTCTGTGGCCCTCTGGAAGTCCTGCGTGGCTTTCTGAGCTTCCAGCTGAGCCTGTGCAAGAAAGAACCATCATGAGGCCTCAGGAATGGCAGGGGCCCCGCTGGCCCACCACACCCTCCAGAAGGTGAGTGCCTGGCGGCTGGGACACGCACTGCCAACTCCCTCTCCGCTCTGGAACCTGGCCTGGAGCCTTCGGGTCCTTGTAAATGCTGGACAGGGGAGTGGCCACCAGGTGAGCGAGTGGACAGTTTTCACAGCCTGGGACCCATACTGGGCTAATTCCACAAATCTGACAGAGGTGACTCAGTGGTTCTCGTAGCAGAGACACCCAGTAGCACCCTGAGGAGCTGACACTTGTAATAGTATCAAAGAGGAAAATGTTAGCAGAGCTGGGTTTGAGCTGTAGGATGCAACACAAGACATTTAAAATATCTTCATGACTCAGAAACTAACAGCTTTCATGGTAACAGCTCTATGGACAGAATTTTAAAAGGCTGATGATGAATGGATTTGGTAAGTGACCTTCATTAGACATGGGCCTGGGGCCAGCAGTGACTAGGAAGCCCTCAGATACGTGTGGGCATCCCCCAGTGTCATCAGGGGGGGTGCGGCAGCAAGGCCCCCCACTGTCGAGGCTGCCAGGAAAAGGGAGTGGCCGCCCTCACAGCCATCTGCCTCGACCCCCTCCAGCCAGTAACTGATCTCAGGAACAGAACATCTGGACATTTGTGTTGGTTGCAAGCAAGTTCATGGACCATCTGGTTCGTCCTTCAGTTTTCAGGGGCCCAGAGAAGCACAGAGACTTGCCAAATGTCACACAGCTGTTTAACTTCTGGCCAGAGCCAGGAACCCAGGCCCCTGACCCTCGTGGGGCTATTTCTGCCCTACCAGGCAGTGTCTGCCAACCTGGGGGTAAACTCTGGCAATGGCATAACCGCTGGATGGCTGGACTGTGTGCCTGTAACTGAATGGAACTGTAGCAAGGAGAGCCATTCAGGGGCTGACGGTGGAGGGAATTCAAACTGCTGGATTGCTGAAGTCACCTGTGGCTCACGCGGGTGTCCCAGACACACCGCCAGGAGCTGTGGGCATGGTGAGGGGAAAGAGTCTTGCCACCTGGCTGCCCAAGGCCCTGCTCGAGCTGGGGCGGCTCCAGGCACAGAGAGAGTCTGAAGATGAGACTAACCTTGCACCTGACCCCTAGCAAACCTGTAAGAATGGAGACAGATGCTTGTAAGAAGAAATAATCATGGTAGTTACTGTTGGAGCACATTTATTCCGAGTCACATAATGTATATAAGGTGTGCTGAGTACACTGCCTCATGTAAGTCTCAAAACAATATGCTGCTAGTCAAGATGATGTTACGGTAGGTTTATGGAAAAAAACCAATGTATATACTCAGTGTCCATTTATGTAATGAAACAGATTTGATAAGGCCATAAAAAAAAAAAACACTATGCTACAAGGTAAGTCTAATTATCATCCCTGCTTTCTAAGGAGACCAAGGCTTAGAAAGGTTAATACATTTCCTAAGATCACAGTTAACAACGGTGGGGTTAAGATTCAAACCCTATTCAAAACAGAAGCCTTTCTTCCAAATTTATTAAATACCACCTGCTAGGGCTACAAACTCCTGACAAAGAGATCAAGCAAAGTTTGGTCGTCTTCTTCGCCCTAATCAAGGTCACACTGGCCACTGCTAAACTAACCAGGCGGGGAAGGGAGGTCACAGGGAGAAAGACTTCGGCCACCAAGGAGAGCACCGTGCACAGACATGGAGCGCCGCTGCTCTGAGAGCTGTGCTCACCGCAAGTAAGCTGAGCAGAGGGCAGGCTGGGGACGCCGGGCCTGCATGCTGAGCCTTACCATCTCTGCCCTCCATGCCGTGGCGCCCGCTCACAGGGGAGCTAGGGGATGAGAGACGCGGGGCAATGTGGCTCCTCCATCCACAAAAACCAGTCCCCCAAGGGGGCCCAGGGCCCCAACTGCTTCCCCCACTGCCTTCCCAACGCCCCCCATTACCAAAAACCCAGGGGACCCTCGGGGCTGATGTACAAGTGAGTGGGCTCAGTCTGCATGAACCTCCCAGTGCTTGATGGCAGCAATTATGGAGCAATAAGAGGCTTCCAGAAACCTGAAGACACTCAGCATGAAATGGCAGATGGGGGTGCCCCACTGTCCTCTCAAGAGGAAGGGAAAGCAGCAGCCTGGGTGAGGCAGCACCAGTCCCCCAGCAGGCCTGGGGCTGCAGGGCCCTGAGGACAGGGCACAGGGAGGCCTGGCTTCTCCACCGGGTCAGGCTCTGGCTGGCGGGCCCCCACCCCGCAGGGCTCAGGACAAGGTCCCTGCCGCACCGGGCAGCCCCTGGCGGGAAGTCCGCATCCCTCCTTCTCCCAACTCGGTACAATTTTGTCCTTGCCTCCTGACTGAGTGTGGGTGCTGCTGGGAAGACCCAACTTCCAGATGGAACTCATGAAGGAAAGCCTCCGATTCCTCTCCAAGCACCTGAGGAAGATCAAATACTCTGAACGCACAAACAAACCCCCTGCTGGCCCCAGTGGTCAAGGGCGGTCCAGGATGGACACATTCAGGCTCCTGGCTTCCTGCCTGTGTTCGGAGCAATCCTAGGGACCAGCAGTTGCCTTTCAAGTCTGCAAACGTCCTTATCTTTCCACATGTCTTTCAAGATTTTGCCTGAAGTTAACTGAAAAGCAGCCACAGATGGATACCAGCCATGCTGACGATGCTATTTGGCCCTGAGGATGTTTGGATACAAACATTTTAACCAGAATTGTACCAAAATAAATTCATTTTTATGTGAAAGCATTTTCTAGAGAACATTCCATCATGCCCATTAGTTCTTTGATCATTTTTCATGTCCACTCTTCCTAATTTTTTTCATTTTTAGTTACTGAAAATCATTTCTCATTAGGATTTTTAAAATTTCAAATCAATGGATTTGATCCATTGAACAGTTTTATCCATATCAACCTTTACTTATTATAGTTTGTGCCATAGAGTTTTTCATTATTTCTATCAAATGCACTTTTCCTGGATCAATTTTTTTGCAGATCTAAATGTATGTTGAACATATGGGGCATCAATTTTTACTCAGTCCCAATGTTATCATGGACAGTTTGAGTCATTATCAGTTAATATTAAACTATGTAATATACAATAGTAAATAATACATACTTATAAATAAAATAAAGGTCCATGGTGTGTGTTTATGAAAAGCAGGAGAAGGCCATGAGCAGTCTGGAGAGCTGTAATGTAGGGCCTGCAGCTGTTTTAGAAGACAGGTCACAAAACTCTTTAATATTATCACAGTGTCAAAAGAGCCTCAAGGGATTAGAAAAATCAAAGTCAAATAGTTCTGCTCTGTCTTGAGGTTAAAGATGAGCTGTTTAAAAATTAAAATTAAAAAGCTATTATCTGCTTCAAAATAACACAGCTAGAACTAAAAAAGGAGGGCGGGGGATGGGAGGGGAGGGTATGGATGAAATGAGGTCGGTCATGGGTCAGTGACAGTGAGGCCGGGCCTCCATTACCTTATTCCCTCTAGTTTGTATGTATCTGAAATGTTCAATAATAAAAAGTAAAAAGGGAAAAAAAACAATCATTTGCAATCAACTACTTATGATTTTCTAAAACTACACTAATATGGAGCCACTAGCCACCTGTGGCTCTTTACATTTAATCACAATGAAATAAAAATTCAGTTTTACATTTCAAGAGCTCAATAGCCACATGTGGCCAGTGGCCCCCATACTGGACCGTGTAGATATTGAGCATTTCCAACATCACAGAGTCCTGTGGGACAAGCTGCCTAGACAGTGTGCAGACTCTGGAACGGAGGCTGATAAACAGCATCTCCATTCCTGCCTTATCAGAAGTCATCGCACATGAAGAGGCCCCTAAGAGGGGCACCCTGAGGGCACAGCATGGGGAGGCTGTGTGTGGAGACGGCCTGGGCCACCCAGTCGGTTTGTGGCTGTGGCTTATTGCTGGCAGGAGGACCCCCAGACTCCCTGGTCACTGGGGCCTCAGACTGACAGGGATGGGTCTAACTCAAGGGTTTCAGGGAAATTAGTCTAGTCTACGCCTGCCCATCCTCTGTGCTCGGCATCAGCCTGAACTACCCTCTGGACGCAGGCATGAGCATCAGGCCACAGCAGTTCCCGGCCACTGGTACACCACTGGCTCCTCTGCCTTAGAAGGGCACCAGCTGTCACCTACAAATCTCCCCGACTCAGCCAAAGCTGCTGGCACGGGGTGGGCACAGGGTGAGACTTAGCCCAAACCAGCATGCTGAGGCTGGTGCTCCGCCCTCCTACCCACAATTACTGGCGGCTCACGTGGCCTGCCAGCCATGCACGGCGGGGTCTCCAGGAACAGCACATCCCCTGAGCCCCCAAATCAAATGCTGTTACCACAGGGACACAGCAGATGCCCAGCCAGAGGGGTGGCACCCACTTTCCTCCTAGGCATCCTCGTGCTCTCCCACATGCTGGCTGGGCTCGAAGTACAAGCCACTGGCTGCAGAACTACAGATTGGCAGGAGCCGGGGGCCAGGCTGAGGCAGAGGCTGAAGGGCCCCCACCAGTAAGATGGCAAACTTCCGGCTTCTCTTCGGGGTCCTCAGTTCCCGCCGGCACCACCTGAAGCCCAATCACCTCTCGCTCCCCTCCCAATCCCAGCACCTAGCCAACAGCCACCAGCCCGGTAGAAGTGACACCTCAACCAATTCATACCCCTTCCTATATAACCCAGCACCTTTCCCTAATAAAGCGGAACTCTCCGGTGAATTGCTGCTATGTGTCGCTCCTTTCCTTTCATTGGTGCTGAAACCCGGGAGACGGGACACCCCAACTGGGCCCCGTCTTCCCCCCGACACCAGCAGCAGCTTGCCCTCGTCCTCTTTTTCCGGCACTGGTTCATCACACTCACCACTCCTCTCTGGCCT